CTTTCTCCTTCATCTTTTTGAGCTATTGTTTGCACCCATAGCTGTCTTATTATTGATAAGGTTCAAATTGTTTGACAGGGTCAAAATATACCATTAGCAGGCTGTGTTTAGCTGAGAGCCAGATATTATCCCGTAAGACACTTGCCCAAATGGGGCAGATGAAGTAGAGTTATTATTTCGGTGACAGTGGCATTGAAATATATAGCGTGGTCAGCACTATGCCCAAGAGCCGTTACTTTCCCAACCTGAGTCAGGTACCCATTAGAACTGGATGATCTCAACGACATCATACACATTCGAGCCCAGGATCTGAACTAAAGACTTTCATATTTAACCACAGCGTCGCACTAGCATTCAGTGGCGGAACTAGAAAAAAAGGGTCACCCCGCAAAAATAAATTCTGGGCCCCTATATATATATATATATATATATATATATATATATATATATATATATATATATATATATATATATATATATATATATATATATATATATATATATATACTAGTCGTCCCGACCAGGCCCTGCTCTGGCTTCTGTGAAAAACCTTTCTGTTAAAGACCATTACCTGTGTGTTTAGTAATCATTATAAACCCGGCATTGCCCACCCAAACCACAACCAACCAAAACCAAAACAACAAAACGCAAACATAACGCTAACACAATTACAAATACAAACGAAAACTAAAACCTAACAACAAACCCAACCACAACCACAAACACCAATACGAACACAAAGAAAAATAACAAACGAAAAAGTAAACGAAAACAAACCAAATCCAAACGCAAAACTAACCACAAACACAAAGAAAAAAACACAAACGAAAAAGCAAACGAAAACAAACCAAATCCAAACGCAAAACCAATCACAAACACAATTACAAACACAAACCCAAAGAAAAAAACACAAACGAGAACGAAAAAAGAAAGAACAAAAACGAACCAAATCAAAACGCAACCACTAACGCAAAACCAACCTAAACACAATGAAAACACTAACGCGAACATAAACGCAAAGTGCTCACAGTCTAGCCCGGGGCGGAATCGCCTGTTTCAGCTTAATAAACGACTATAGTACCCCAACTTATTCATAGTCTTTTGCATTCACATAAACGAACGTAGGCGCCAAACCAAACACGGGAGGCCCGGGGCGCCAAATAGCACCCTGTCTGGGCACCAGAGGACGCCCAGATTCGATTCACTTAAAGACTATAGTAACCTTTCTTATCCATACTCTATCGCACTGTTTAAAGCGAAATTATGCACCTTAGCGCTCACAGGATAGCCCAGGGCGCCGAATTGAACCCTGGTGGGGCGCCGGCAGACGCGCCTGTTTCAATTCAATGAACATTTATAATACTCCAAGTTTATCCGTAAAATACCTACAACATTTGCACTTGATCAATCCCCGCTAATTGTGTAATTTTTTTTCCCAACACCAAAACAAAGTAATAAAAAGTAAATTCTTTTCCACTAATGCAATGTTTTATAAAGGGAAGTAATTGTGTTTTCCTAATTTATCAAAGGGAATTAAGTGCTGAAGGACTAAATATAAATAATTTTCAGACATAATTAGAATGTTTGTAAAAGATTATATTTTTTAAAAATTGTGTTTAATGAACATGCCGACAATTATTACTATCAGTTTGAAAAATGAAAATTATTTCCCAACACTTTCAGTATTTATTTTTTAATTCATAAATTTAGACCATAAGCACTATAATAATCTTACACTATAATCCATTGAAGTATCCACGACAAACATTACACTTTAAAAACATTTCTGAAACACAGAATTGAGCTTTATTATGGTTCCTAGATCTCTTCACATCGAGTAAATCTTTCGCCTTTTACTAAAGATTGGAGCGATATCCGATACTCACCATCCTACAATGTCATCTCCTAGCATGATGTCATACGAAGATATTGTCAGAGTCAACAAAGGGGTTGCGCCCTTGGATTTTTCCCCTGGGTCGAGAGACTAGGGGAGGAGCCACCCGGACTACGGTTCGGGTGGCTTAATGAAATCCAAGGTCCAACCCTTTTCAGCCACAACTGCCACTTTGGATCTACCAGATGAAGACTGCCCAGAGCTATACCCAGTCGACACACCTACCATCCAAGTTCGAATCTCCTCCAAAGGCCATCCCAACCTACGGGGTCACGTCCTAAGGCAAATCATAAGCAACGAACAAATCCTGCTCCTTAACTACGGCCGAGCAGACACTTGGTTTTTCTCATCAACAGCTTTTGACGTCACCACGTTTCATAATACACAAAATACACGGCCCATACACACTGCATTCCACTATACACGAAAAAGACATAATAAACGGAACCCTTAGATGGGTCCCCCCCCCCCCCACACTCAACGATCTCACACTCATACAAGCACTACAGCCTTACAGCAATAAAGAGCCAATCATTACCACAATTCCTCACACCAGTAATCGCAACTTCTCCATACACACTGACAATCCAACAAACATCCCTCATTACATTCAAATAAATTACAAAAACAAATCCCTCAACATCCTAGTCACCATAAATGGAAGAAAACAAGCCTGCCAAACCTGCTCGTCAACCCTGCACTGGACCAGTCACTGTCCAAAATCCAATGTACACATGACAGCACCACAGGAACCAGTCACGCATGCACAACAGCAAACAACAGCAGCAAACAACAGAGCCCCCCTAAGCCGACTTCAGATTCAACACCCAACGCACCCCTGACAACATCAAAGGAACCAGCACCAACCACACCGCAGGTCCTAGAACCGATGGAAAACCAGACAACCCTAAACATGACTACAACAAACAGTCAACCAACCAATCCCCACAAGCTGCATAGTAAGCCAACAACCTCCAGTACAAGCATGACGAAATCACCAATCACCAAAACAAATGCTTCAAGAATCCTCATACCAACCTTTGCTGCATCATCCTCGCTGAGACCAAACTCTTTCAAGTTTACAGCGACGCCAACCTCTACAATTAACAACCCCAGCCTAAATGTGGAAATGAGCGACGGCACAAACTCAAAAAGAAAGAAAAAACAGCCCTACAGACGCGAAGCAGTCAAAAAATCTTAAAACCCAAAAGCGGGATATAACAGCAAAAGATGCAGATTTTGCGCCCAGAAATATAAATCAATCGACGATAGGGAAGAATACGAGGATGCAGTACACCAGGAATTGTTAATGTGTCACATATGCAACAACGAGTGTGGATACATGGACATATGCCAGCACTACAAAGAGTACCATCCCGACGAAACGACGTATACCTGCCACCATTGCAGAATATGCCTCCCCCTAAAGGGTATGAAGGTACACACAAAGAATCATCATCCATGAGTTAAATAGATCGCCAAACATAGAGTCTAAAATGAAAACTTAATTAAAACTTAGTAACTTGAGACGTTTTGTATAAGGGAACTTAAATATATAGGTTTTGTATTAGACACATAATAAAACTTGTATGATATGTATATATATTATGTTCATGTAAACCTGCTCTTGCTGCCTACCCTGGCTTGAATAGGAAGCAGCAAGAGAGGAACAATTAAAAAAAAAAACTAGATCAAACGATAACCTTTCCTCTTAATCAACGATGCCATCACAAAAAAAACTTATGCAAATAGTACCAGCAACCCTTGTTTGTTCCCTCTGAGTCGAGAGACCTGGAGAGGAGCCACCTGGACTACGGCTCGGGTGGCCAGACTACGGTTCGGGTGGCCGGACTACGGTTCGGGTGGCCGGACTACGGTTCGGGTGGCTTAATGAAATCCTGGGCCCAATCCATTTCAGCCAAGACGACAGCTATCCTGGATATACCTGAAGAAGAATGCCCAGACCTGTACCCAACACCCACTATTCAAGTTTTGATCACCTCTTGATGTCTACCTAACCTGAGGGGCCACATCTTGAGACAACTAATCAGCAGCCAGCAGATCCTTCTAAATTACGGCAGAGCTGACACTTGGTTTTTCACCTCTCAAGCTTGTGATGTTACAACGCTACACAGCACACACAAAACTCTACGAAACAAACAAAATCAATGGGACCCTTAGATGGGTACCCCCCCCCCCCCCCCCCACACACACAGTTATCTCAGACGTTTTGTAATTTGTAATGCTTAAGTATAATTGAATGCAATGCCATGTATTGTACTATTTTAACATGCAACCTATCCACACACCTAGCTCCTGACTTGAGGGAGTGAACTGTGTGGAAGGAAATCTATTAAAAAAAAAATCGAGATTTTTACAAATCTCGACGATTTACACCTCACTGATACGGAAAAACATAATTTTGCAATCTTGTCCGTATGTCTGTGTGTGTGTGTGTGTGTCTGTCCGTGTGTAAACACGATTACTTGAGTACCGTTACAGCTAGGTTGATGAAATTTCATATATAAGTATTATATCAAAATCGTAGATCCGTATCAACTTTTGAACGATTTCCGACAACCGGAAGTGGTACTTTTTCTACTTTGAATTTTTCAAAAGCCTATAACTTGAGTACTATTTCAGATAGATAAATGATATTTCACATGTAAGTAAAAGATCTAATTCTCTACCTTCTGTAAAATTTTGAGTAATTTACGTTGACTGGAAGTAGTACTTTACGCTACTTCCGATTTCTCAAAAAACTAATGTAAATTTTAAAAGTATTAATAATATTGCGCACTATTATGCGTTTTTTATTTAGCGTTCACTTGGTGTGCAATTAATTTGTCCACGAGATTTTATTCTATTTTTAAAACTTTAAGTATTTAAAATGGATTAAAAATCATTTCTATAGCCCGAGTTCCCATCCCCTGTTATTTTATATAAGAATATTCGAGAAAGTTTAGGGGAGATCACTCCCGGTTTATTTATAAAGTAACTTCCTAATTCATCACCACAAATTGGAACACAAACAAAATCCTGCAGTTTGCTCGGATACATTTTTGAAAGGAAATCTAAAATTAGCAAAAAGTAAAAACAAAAGTCAGACCCAGAGAACACAACTTTTCGCTGAATATTTGAATTCATTTAACATATATTGAATGACTTGATGTTGTGCTTCTAATGTTGTTAAATGTTGCATGTTAAATGTTGCATTTTAAATGTTGCATGTTAAATGTTGCATTTTAAATGTTGCATGTTAAAATCTGCATGTCTAATGTGCTTTTGTTATGAACTGTTACTGACATCTTAACTGTATGTTATATGCTTTGTTGTATGTTGTAAAAAAAAAAACATTAAGCATAGTTTCCATGACCTTGGCATATGACCTTGGCATTTGATGGGATAGAGGTGCTGGTCCTTGTTATATGCTTGTTTTATATTGTCTGCCTTATATTGTCTGTCTTATATTGTTTGTCTGCCTTTTTATATTGTCTGCCTTATATTGTCTGCCTTATATTGTCTGTCTTATATTGTTTGTCTGCCTTTTTATATTGTCTGTCTTATATTGTCTGTCTTATATTGTCTGTCTTATATTGTCTGCCTTATATTGTCTGTCTTATATTGTCTGCCTTATATTGTTTGTCTGCCTTTTTATATTGTCTGCCTTATATTGTCTGCCTTATATTGTCTGCCTTATATTGTCTGCCTTATACTGTCTGTCTTATGTTGTCTGCCTTATATTGTCTGCCTTATATTGTCTGTCTTATGTTGTCTGCCTTATATTGTCTGCCTTATATTGTCTGTCTTATGTTGTCTGCCTTATATTGTTTGCCTTATGTTGTCTGTCTTATATTGTCTGCCTTATATTGTCTGCCTTATATTGTCTGTCTTATATTGTCTGCCTTATATTGTCTGTCTTATATTGTCTGTCTTATATTGTCTGCCTTATATTGTCTGTCTTGTATTGTCTGCCTTATATTGTCTGTTTTATATTGTTTGTCTGATGTTTTCTGCCTTTTTATATTGTCTGCCTTATGTTGTCTGTCTTATATTGTTTGTCTGATGATTTCTGCCTTTTTATATTGTCTGCCTTATGTTGTCTGTCTGATGCCTCTTATGTTTGATGTGTTTAGTGTAAAAAAAAGGTGGCATCAGACAGGTACTAATGGCCCTTTGAGCATTGCCACAGTTACTGGCCACTGGTCAGGTTTGTAGAGTTTGGCCTCCGTCTCTTCCTGCGACTGAGATGGTGTCGTGTGGATTGGCGCGGGCTGGCCTGTGATGCTTAGCAGCTTCAGCTCCAGGGGACCTAACTTGAGATAATCCTGAAGCAAAGTTTGAATTGTCATCGAGGTAAACATCGAGCTGGGGTTAGGGTAAAAAGTTAGGGTTAGATTTAAGTTTAGGTTAGAGTTAGGGTTAGGGTAAAAAGTTAGGGTTAGATTTGAGTTTAGGTTAGAGTTAGGGTTAGGGTTAGGGTAAAAAGTTAGGGTTAGATTTGAGTTTAGGTTAGAGTTATATCAGTTGGGAAGACATTTAATACCAACGTCTTAGCAGGTGAGCCTTTGTTTCAATGATTTGGTCGTTTTGTATTTATAAAAAAACTTTTCACTGTGGATCATTTCATAATAAAATTGAGTTTTAATTTTTGTTGGTGCTCCTTTTCCTCTTAAAGTAGGGTTGGGGTTATGGTTATGGTTAGGGTTATGTTTATGGTTAGGGTTATGGTTAGGGTTGGGGTTATGTTTATGGTTAGGGTTGGGTTTGGGGTTATGGTTATGGTTGGGTTTGGGGTTATGGTTAGGGTTATGATTAGGGTTGGGGTTATGTTTATGGTTAGGGTTGGGATTGGAGTTGGAGTTAATCTCTAATTTTCTTTTTTCTGACGTGTTAAGAGTTGATACTAATAGTGTATCAAACCAAATCGTGACATTTTATTATTTTAATGGATTGGGGTAGAGTAACAAAAAATGTTTAATGCCAAGAAAAATATTTCCTCAAAACTTTGGCATGTATGCCTGAGGGTTGGGATGGCACTTCCAGTGAAATCGAGCTATAGAAACATAGAAGTTATTCAAATTAAGATGAAATGTACTTTGAATATGCTACATGAGAATATAGAAAAATAGAGTGAAGTACCTCTGCTGATTACAGGAAATAGCACAAAAGTTAAAACAAGGTGTTAAACTTCAAGAGTTTTAGGGTTAATATAGGACTACTTTCTCCTCTCTACGAGGTGGATAGCAAAAATATTTTAAAACAATAAGAAATATTTGTATAACAAAAACTATACAATTTGAAAAGTCAGTGGTACTTACATCAAAATTTTCTTCTTCAAAATAATAATTTTCATAGATTCCACTTTCTGTTTCTGATGTTTCATCTAAAACACATGTTAAGTTAGGTAAGTAACTGGGTTAGAGAGTTTGGTGAGGTAAGTGACTGGGTTAGAGAGTTTAGTGAGGTAACTGGGTTAGAGAGTTTAGTGAGGTAAGTGATTGGGTTAGAGAGTTTAGTGAGGTAAGTGATTGGGTTAGAGAGTTTAGTGAGGTAACTGGGTTAGAGAGTTTAGTGAGGTAAGTGACTGGGTTAAAGAGTTTAGTGAGGTAGCTGGGTTAGAGAGTTTAGTGAGGTAAGTGACTGGGTTAAAGAGTTTAGTGAGGTAGCTGGGTTAGAGAGTTTAGTGAGGTAAGTGACTGGGTTAGAGAGTTTAGTGAGGTAAGTGACTGGGTTAGAGAGTTTAGTGAGGTGACTGGGTCAGAGAGTTTAGTGAGGTAAGTGACTGGGTTAAAGAGTTTAGTGAGGTAACTGGGCTAGAGAGTTTAGTGAGGTAACTGGGTTAGAGAGTTTAGTTAGGTAACTGGGTTAGAGAGTTTAGTGAGGTAAGTGACTGGGTTAGAGAGTTTAGTGAGGTAAGTGACTGGGTTAGAGAGTTTAGTGAGGTAAGTGACTGGGTTAGAGAGTTTAGTGAGGTAAGTGACTGGGTTAGAGAGTTTAGTGAGGTAAGTGACTGGGTTAAAGAGTTTAGTGAGGTAACTGGGTTAGAGAGTTTAGTGAGGTAAGTGACTGGGTTAGAGAGTTTAGTGAGGTAAGTGACTGGGTTAGAGAGTTTAGTGAGGTGACTGGGTTAGAGAGTTTAGTGAGGTAAGTGACTGGGTTAAAGAGTTTAGTGAGGTAACTGGGCTAGAGAGTTTAGTGAGGTAACTGGGTTAGAGAGTTTAGTTAGGTAACTGGGTTAGAGAGTTAAGTGAGGTTAGTGACTGGGTTAGAGAGTTTAGTGAGGTAAGTGACTGGGTTAGAGAGTTTAGTGAGGTAAGTGACTGGGTTAGAGAGTTTAGTGAGGTAAGTGACTGGGTTAGAGAGTTTAGAGAGGTAAGTAACTGGGTTAGAGAGTTTAGTGAGGTAAGTGACTGGGTTAAAGAGTTTAGTGAGGTAACTGGGTTAGAGAGTTTAGTGAGGTAAGTGACTGGGTTAGAGAGTATAGTGAGGTAACTGGGTTAGAGAGTTTAGTGAGGTAAGTGACTGGGTTAGATAGTTTAGTTAGGTAAGTAACTGGGTTAGAGAGTTTAGTGAGGTAAGTGACTGGGTTAGAGGGTTTAGTGAGGTAAGTGACTGGGTTAGAGAGTTTAGTGAGGTAAGTGAATGGGTTAGAGACTTTAGTGAGGTAAGTAACTGGGTTAGAGAGTTTAGTTAGGTAAGTAACTGGGTTAGAGAGTTTAGTGAGGTAACTGGGTTAGAGAGTTTAGTGAGGTAAGTGACTGGGTTAGAGAGTTTAGTGAGGTAAGTGACTGGGTTAGAGAGTTTAGTGAGGTAAGTGACTGGGTTAGAGAGTTTAGTGAGGTAACTGGGTTAGAGAGTTTAGTGAGGTAAGTGACTGGGTTAGAGAGTTTATTGAGGTAAGTGACTGGGTTAGAGAGTTTAGTTAGGTAAGTAACTGGGTTAGAGAGTTTAGTGAGGTAAGTAACTGGGTTAGAGAGTTTAGTGAGGTAACTGGGTTAGAGAGTTTAGTGAGGTAACTGGGTTAGAGAGTTTAGTGAGGTAAGTGACTGGGTTAGAGAGTTTAGTGAGGTAAGTGACTGGGTTAGAGAGTTTAGTGAGGTAAGTGACTGGGTTAGAGAGTTTAGTGAGGTAACTGGGTTAGAGAGTTTAGTGAGGTAACTGGGTGAGAGAGTTTAGTTAGGTAAGTGACTGGGTTAGAGAGTTTAGTGAGGTAACTGGGTTAGAGAGTTTAGTGAGGTAACTGGGTTAGAGAGTTTAGTTAGGTAACTGGGTTAGAGAGTTTAGTGAGGTAAGTGACTGGGTTAGAGAGTTTAGTGAGGTAAGTGACTGGGTTAGAGAGTTTAGTGAGGTAAGTGACTGGGTTAGAGAGTTTAGTGAGGTAAGTGACTGGGTTAGAGAGTATAGTGAGGTAACTGGGTTAGAGAGTTTAGTGAGGTAAGTGACTGGGTTAGATAGTTTAGTTAGGTAAGTAACTGGGTTAGAGAGTTTAGTGAGGTAAGTGACTGGGTTAGAGGGTTTAGTGAGGTAAGTGACTGGGTTAGAGAGTTTAGTGAGGTAAGTGACTGGGTTAGAGAGTTTAGTGAGGTAAGTAACTGGGTTAGAGAGTTTAGTTAGGTAAGTAACTGGGTTAGAGAGTTTAGTGAGGTAACTGGGTTAGAGAGTTTAGTGAGGTAAGTGACTGGGTTAGAGAGTTTAGTGAGGTAAGTGACTGGGTTAGAGAGTTTAGTGAGGTAAGTGACTGGGTTAGAGAGTTTAGTGAGGTAACTGGGTTAGAGAGTTTAGTGAGGTAAGTGACTGGGTTAGAGAGTTTATTGAGGTAAGTGACTGGGTTAGAGAGTTTAGTTAGGTAAGTAACTGGGTTAGAGAGTTTAGTGAGGTAAGTAACTGGGTTAGAGAGTTTAGTGAGGTAACTGGGTTAGAGAGTTTAGTGAGGTAACTGGGTTAGAGAGTTTAGTGAGGTAAGTGACTGGGTTAGAGAGTTTAGTGAGGTAAGTGACTGGGTTAGAGAGTTTAGTGAGGTAAGTGACTGGGTTAGAGAGTTTAGTGAGGGAAATGACTGGGTTAGAGAGTTTAGTGAGGTAACTGGGTTAGAGAGTTTAGTGAGGTAAGTGACTGGGTTAGAGAGTTTAGTGAGGTAAGTGACTGGGTTAGAGAGTTTAGTGAGGTAACTGGGTGAGAGAGTTTAGTTAGGTAAGTGACTGGGTTAGAGAGTTTAGTGAGGTAACTGGGTTAGAGAGTTTAGTGAGGTAACTGGGTTAGAGAGTTTAGTGAGGTAACTGGGTTAGAGAGTTTAGTGAGGTAAGTGACTGGGTTAGAGAGTTTAGTGAGGTAAGTGACTGGGTTAGAGAGTTTAGTGAGGTAAGTGACTGGGTTAGAGAGTTTAGTGAGGTAAGTTACTGGGTTAGAGAGTTTAGTGAGGTAAGTAACTGGGCTAGAGAGTTTAGTGAGGTAAGTCACTGGGTTAGAGAGTTTAGTGAGGTAAGTGACTGGGTTAGAGAGTTTAGTTAGGGAAATGACTGGGTTAGAGAGTTTAGTGAGGTAAGTGACTGGGTTAGAGAGTTTAGTGAGGTAAGTGACTGGGTTAGAGAGTTTAGTGAGGTAAGTGACTGGGTTAGAGAGTTTAGTGAGGTAACTGGGTTAGAGAGTTTAGTGAGGTAACTGGGTTAGAGAGTTTAGTGAGGTAAGTGACTGGGTTAGAGAGTTTAGTGAGGTAACTGGGTTAGAGAGTTTAGTGAGGTAACTGGGTTAGAGAGTTTAGTGAGGTAAGTGACTGGGTTAGAGAGTTTAGTGAGGTAACTGGGTTAGAGAGTTTAGTGAGGTAAGTGACTGGGTTAGAGAGTTTAGTGAGGTAAGTGACTGGGTTAGAGAGTTTAGTGAGGTAACTGGGTTAGAGAGTTTAGTGAGGTAACTGGGTTAGAGAGTTTAGTGAGGTAAGTGACTGGGTTAGAGAGTTTAGTGAGGTAAGTGACTGGGTTAGAGAGTTTAGTGAGGTAACTGGGTTAGAGAGTTTAGTGAGTTAAGTGACTGGGTTAGAGAGTTTAGTTAGGGAAATGACTGGGTTAGAGAGTTTAGTGAGGTAACTGGGTTAGAGAGTTTAGTTAGGTAAGTGACTGGGTTAGAGAGTTTAGTGAGGAAAGTGACTGGGTTAGAGAGTTAAGTGAGGTAAGTAACTGGGTTAGAGAGTTTAGTGAGGTAACTGGGTTAGAGAGTTTAGTGAGGTAAGTGACTGGGTTAGAGAGTTTAGTGAGGTAAGTGACTGGTTAGAGAGTTTAGTGAGGTAACTGGGTTAGAGAGTTTAGTTAGGTAAATGACTGGGTTAGAGAGTTTACTGAGGTAAGTGACTGGGTTAGAGAGTTTAGTGAGGTAAGTGACTGGGTTAGAGAGTTTAGTGAGGTAAGTGACTGGGTTAGAGAGTTTAGTGAGGTAAGTGACTGGGTTAGAGAGTTTAGTGAGGTAAGTGACTGGGTTAGAGAGTTTAGTGAGGTAACTGGGTTAGAGAGTTTAGTGAGGTAACTGGGTTAGAGAGTTTAGTTAGGTAAGTGACTGGGTTAGAGAGTTTAGTGAGGCAACTGGCTTAGAGAGTTTAGTGAGGTAACTGGGTTAGAGAGTTTAGTTAGGTAACTGGGTTAGAGAGTTTAGTGAGGTAAGTGACTGGGTTAGAGAGTTTAGTGAGGTAAGTGACTGGGTTAGAGAGTTTAGTGAGGTAAGTGACTGGGTTAGAGAGTTTAGTGAGGTAAGTGACTGGGTTAGAGAGTTTAGTGAGGTAAGTAACTGGGTTAGAGAGTTTAGTGAGGTAAGTCACTGGGTTAGAGAGTTTAGTGAGGTAAGTGACTGGGTTAGAGAGTTTAGTGAGGTAACTGGGTTAGAGAGTTTAGTGAGGTAAGTGACTGGGTTAGAGAGTTTAGTGAGGTAAGTGACTGGGTTAGAGAGTTTAGTGAGGTAACTGGGTTAGAGAGTTTAGTGAGGTAACTGGGTGAGAGAGTTTAGTTAGGTAAGTGACTGGGTTAGAGAGTTTAGTGAGGTAACTGGGTTAGAGAGTTTAGTGAGGTAACTGGGTTAGAGAGTTTAGTTAGGTAACTGGGTTAGAGAGTTTAGTGAGGTAAGTGACTGGGTTAGAGAGTTTAGTGAGGTAAGTGACTGGGTTAGAGAGTTTAGTGAGGTAAGTGACTGGGTTAGAGAGTTTAGTGAGGTAAGTGACTGGGTTAGAGAGTATAGTGAGGTAACTGGGTTAGAGAGTTTAGTGAGGTAAGTGACTGGGTTAGATAGTTTAGTTAGGTAAGTAACTGGGTTAGAGAGTTTAGTGAGGTAAGTGACTGGGTTAGAGGGTTTAGTGAGGTAAGTGACTGGGTTAGAGAGTTTAGTGAGGTAAGTGACTGGGTTAGA